TATCCTCCAAGAAGGAGGCCCCCCTCATACCTCTATGTAACGCTCTCTTAATTAACACAGCGTAACCCATCAGCAGTGCAGACCCAGGACAGGTTGACTTCAGAACAGCGTGTTGGTTTTCCTATAAAATATCCCTTGAAATAACAAACTTCCATCAGCATTGCTACAGATTAGGAGCAGGACTTTTCCTCCTCAATGCATGTATTTGCAGATATTCATAGTAAATGTGTACCTGCACACACATGAACACGCGCTCCCAGAGGATTCCACAGAAAGTGCTTTGCCAACCGACTGGTTGATGTGCTAAATCATTCCATCCACTGGAGCTGCGATCTCAAAGCAAGGACTCCACTGTGTTTTTAAATAGCACCAAGAATGTTATGAAACAGTTCAGGAGGAAAAAGAATAAAAGGTTAAAACAAACATAAAATCAAGAAACAGAAAAACAGAAGGGAAGTTAGTGGATCAGTAAGGTAAAGACAATCAACCTGGGGGTCAAACTATTGAAAAAAAAATCCAGAGAACATTATTAGGGGTAATTAGAATCATAGAATGTTTAGGGTTGGAAGGGACCCCTAGAGGTCATCTAGTCCAACCCCCCTGCGGGAGCAGGGACACCGCTAACTAGATCAGGTTGCTCAGAGCCCCCGTCCAACCTGGCCTTACATTTTGGGGTCTCTGCCTAACTTGCAAAAGGACAGCACTTTCAGCAAAATGCATGGCTTCTCTATTAAATCACCCTGCTGAAGACAAAGGCATTGTCCTCTACTACATCATCACGGCTCTCTTCAATCTTGGTGGCTTTTCCAAGCTGCTAAAACTGAAGGTTTTTCTAAAGACCTCATCTCTGCACTCTTGCCCCAGCACTCATGAAGTACCACACTGCATTTGACTTAGACAATCTCAGAGCTATCTTGAGCCTCATCACTACCTGACTGAAGTATTAAACTTCATATTAGTAACCCATTTTGGGGGGTTGCTTTCCAACATCATCCTGCACTTAGAACTAAGATCACACAAAATTCAGTCCTGCAGCAACAGGCACCCAGCACACTACACTGAAGATGTGGTTTCTCCCTATATGCTTTGCCATTACAGTAGCTCATGCTAATATTTCATTTTATGTTTTCTAACTGCTCTCTAGCTTCCAACCAAGGAAATTCCACCACTGTGGGTGGTTCAATACAGACGAAACTGGCAAGCAGGAACCCTAAAGCAATTATTTTCAGCCCCTATTCAGTACAGATTTGAAAGCACTGCAACGTCATCTTTATGAGCTGATTAGAGAGATGCTAAGCACTTTTCCTGCTCCGCTCCCAGATAGCTAAACTAGGATCTTCCTCTACAGTCTTTTAAGCTATCCTGGTCTTTAGATCTTTTTTTTTTTTTTTTACCATCCCCCAAAAACATCTGTTTAAATTAAACAACAAAAATGACTTTGAAAGAAGGCAGAGTTATTTATGTGCATGCTGAAGAATCAGAACTCAACCTGGGCTATGTTAATCCCAGACAGAAACATCCCATGTTTCTGTGCTGCAACTTTTCAGGTGGATACCACTGCATATCCTGGAGTCATCCTGAAAACTACTGTGATTGCTGCATGATAAAGCAGCCTAAAAAAGCTGATGGTAGGCTGAGGGCTGCTTTGCAAGGCGCTGTAAATCCCAAGCAATGACAGCAGAAAAGTTTCCTAACTAGGGACGTAACTGTTTTGCACCTTCTGCCAATGGGAAACATCTGCACTGAAGCCTTTTCCTCTGACAGAGCACAGTTATTCAGAGAGAAGAATTTAAACTGCTTCTGAAGTTTAGCTGGTAACCTTTACACAATGTTGATGGCATGTACTGTAGCTTTCTGGTCTAAATCAAACATATTTTAATAATATTACAGAATACGCATTGCCTGAACTTGTAGACAGTTTGCAACATGTCTGTTTTAATTTCATCTGTGCACGGCTGCGAGCAAGCAAGGGGAGAAAACCTTTAACTCGGTCACAACATCTTTGCAAAGTGACACTGAGTATCTGTGCCATCCCACCCCTGCCGAATCAAGCCTCAGGGGACAGGAATTAGGAGAAACGTCTACCTTCTTCCCAGCCTGTTACATCTAAACATCATACTTCACAACAAATGATGGGAGAGAAAGAAAATTCATTCAAAGAGAAAAGGGAAGAAGTGAAATCAAACTTTCAGCCCCAAAGCAAGAGAGGGTTAGAAATGTTTAAACTAATTCATCAGCCCCCTTTACCTCTAGCAACAATGCCACTGTTCTGGCTCGCTGTCTGGGCAGGACTGCGTTTTACCTTGGAGTTAGTGGTAGGCTGTGCTGGGGGTGACCTCTCTCTTGTCGTGCTTCATGAAGTTCTTTCTTCTGGGCTGAGCGCGCCGGCTGAGTGGTCCCCTCTGCGCTGGAAAATATCCTGCAGGCAGAGAAATATGCTGCAAGAAGCTGCTGCTTCCTGCCAAATTTCACTAGAGTTACTCAAGCAAACCCCTCCCAAGACCCAGCCCCTTTAGCCTCAGCTCATAGCGGGTGATATCATGGGCTTGTCTTGTAATCTGAGCAGAAGGACTGCGAACCGAAAAGAAATGGGGGAGAAAAAAACCTAGCCAGAGTTGCAAGGAAGGAGGTGGATTAGGAATGTGAATGCTTTCTCAGGACGTTCCTAGAGAATAAAGATCGAGAATCAGATCAACACCAGCATTAAATAACACAGGGTGATCACAGTGGTTTTTAAACACCCCTGTTTGATTCAGAGCCTCATGGTGCTTTACAAATACAGAGGAGTGTAGGGTCTTACCATACAGCATCTTCAAAGTTAGACCCCTTGCTAGAGTTTGCAGCATGCCATCTCCCCAGCTATTCAGATATCACCCACCTTAACCCTTCAGCATCCAGCAACTGCTTTTCCAGCGGCTCGATATTCTTAAAGCTCGTAACTACAGTGGCTCAAACCAAGGCACGTACCTAATAATCATCTAGAACTGAACCAAGAGTTACTCCATACTCCTTGATGTCCCAAGGACTAACCAGATACTGAAAACAATTCTTCATAAAAAAAACCCCAACAGACCAATGAAAAATCCCAACCTCTGCTGTGTCAGAAAATTCAGAGCATCTGTGGTGTGAACAGCTAGCAGTGAAAGAGTAACGCTGGTCTGAGCTACTTGAAACAGTTCTATCAACAAGAAGCAGATATTTTTCTGAGACAACTGTAAATTTCTGCACTCTTTTCAGCTAGAAAGGGGGGGTTGTATTTTTAAAACTGCCCCCCCCTTTTTTTTCATTTAGGCTTTTAATGCGTCATAACAACTCTATTCACTTCCATTTTCTGTAACCATGAAAACAACAAGAAAACAGTGGTTTTTAAGTCTCTATTACAGACAAGACCTTGAAATTTTGTCTTCTGACCCAATTTTGGACAGCAACACATGCTGAAGTGTCAGCATTTCCCAAAGAATGGAAATTTATTTTCTCACCGGCTTTGACCTTGGGTATTTAAATCTACGTTTAATGGGTTTTTCAAACAAGTCAGCAGAGAGTTGACAGGCACAGAAGGAACAGCAGGTATTCTCAAAGGCTAACTTTTGAAGGAATATCCCCATTTATTTCAGTACATTCATATTTGTAAATGACTTTCTAGCAAGCCTGACCTAGCACAGGACAGCTTATAGTACACTCTTCCAGGTTAGTCCTGCCTGGTTTCACATCAATGCTCAAATTAATTCTATTCATTATTTTGAAAAGTTCAAGTGCTTAACTCACATCTCTGGATACATTTCCAGCAAAGTAACACCAAACCCTATAAGAACATGTCTGTCATCAGACTTTTCCCAGGCTTTTCATCGCTTCCTAAACACAATTTACCCACACCAAGTAATGCCTGCTTCCTGCTCAGAGCACAACTCCATTTCCTCATCCCCAACCACAGGAAAAGCAGCTGCCCTGGCACCGATGTGCAGAGCTTTCCCACTCTCTGATGCCACCTTTTATTGGAAAGGGATACTGCGCTGAACTGGGCACCAACATTAGAGGAATCTGCAACATGCTGGCAACAGAAAGGAGGCTGGTTTGGAAGTGTAATGCAGCCCTGAATAATTTAAGCAAGGTTGTAGCTCTTCACTGAGCAAACTGACAGTATCGGAGAAGCTCAACCTTGCTTACAAGAAACCGTAAGGTGCTCAGCACAAAGCCTCTCCCGTGGTTTCACAGGCTCTGCACATGAAGTAGTCTGGTCCAGAACTGAGGATTCAGCCCAACACAAGAACGGTGCCGTTACTTACTGGCATAGCAGGCTTCCGAGGCGATACCCACCCAGCGAAGAGTACACCAGCTGATAACACCGGTAAGGACATGACAACCACATTCCCACAAGTTGGCAGAGCCTCCTGCAGCCAGTCCCCCAAAGTCAATCGTGTGGTTAAAGGAGGGGAAAAAAAATTAGACAGAGGACAGTTGTTTCTTGGTGTAATACAGAGAATATCAAGGTGTCAGGACTTAAACCCGGGATGCCAGAGAAGCAGAGCTTGGCTTTTCTTCCCAGGGAAGCCAACACAAATGGTAAGCAGCAGCAGGTTTTGCACGCTAGTCCACAGTGCCCTAATTCTCCCGTACTGGGAATGCTCATGAAAGAGGTGAAATGCTCCAAACTGTAATTAGGACCATGGCTATCAGCAGAGCACCACCTCGTGGGTCAAAGCTCAGCTGGACTCACCTCACTCAGTCTCAGGGACATCAGGGGCAAAACGTGTCCCAGCAGAAGCTCCACAGAGCAGAGCTATTTCAGACTGGCAGGAAGCTGAAGGCAGTTTGGCCAGAGGAAGGAATGTGTGAGCGTCTGCTGATCAGGGCATGGAGAAACATGACAGCCTGCCGGAGGAATGTTTGCCGAATGCCTGGGTCGGGTAAGGATACAAGCAGCAAATGCCATACAGGCTTCCAGCTGATGGAAGAGCTTGCTT